ACAGAAATCATTAGCAAAAAAGGAGGAAAACTAACATTTTGACATAATCATAGGAGAGAATACTAATGGGATCATAATTAACAATAAACATGATGACAAATTTCATGTTGTTAAATGTATTTTGAACAAGTCCAGATATTTTTCTGAGGGATGGTCATAGATCAACATGTGTGTCGACGACGTTTTTCGTACAGGCGGGGAAATACCGATACCAACTTGGGGGTTTTTCTTTAAAAAGAATTTGAAATGTGAGGAGTCGCCACCAATAATTTAAGATGCGATTGAGACACTATAAAAACCAGGTGATTTTAATAAAATATTTTATTTTCATCAAATTACCAAGTTTAAGGTCTGCGAAAATCCAGAAATCAGGTTTGGGAGTCAGTTACGCGTGGGTAAGAATTAACACCCCCACAAGAGCCAAAAAATTGATACCTAGTTGATTACCCTATATTTAGAATCGGAAACTTTGAGTTTGAACTTTATTTAATTTAAAAATCATTACGGATGCAAAGTTGAAAAGGATGTTTGTTTATTAAGGTCGATAATATTCGCCCCTAGCATAAATGCGGGAGATAAGCTATTGTGCTCAATAACCGAATATTGCCTCGATATTTTAGAAATCATGATGCAGTTTTGAAAAGGATGTCGACCTATTTCGGGAATCACCGGTAATCACCCCATGAGCATACTTGCGGGATATATACTATTAATTCCCTAATAAGTGAACAATGCCTTAGGTTTAAAAATAAAATGTGATCAAACAAATTTTTATTAATCCTAATTAAGCTAAGGGTAAATTAAGGCTTTTTCTAGTTTAAAGTGTCGAATTATGAAAGTTAAAGAACCTATGGGCACAAACCTAGAAGTGTAGGTTCTAATATTAACTCTATTTGATTTTTAAACCAATTATTGGATCGAATAATCGGGATGGTCCCTCGAGCACTTACGCGAGGGTCAACTGAATTATTCCCTAAATTAAGAGGACTATATTGAAATCTAGCTAAAAATGGAGGCTCTATTTAACTTATTTGATTATGTCAATCTTAAAGGTCTAATTGAAGTTCGGGGACTAAAAGGTCAAAGGTCTAAAATACCGAGTTTTAAGAGACTAAAAGTTTAAGGACCTAAATCAATGGTTTTTAAAGTTTGCGGACTAATTAATAAACCAAAATCCTAAGTATTATTTAAATTAACCTATTAAAAGGAATTAAACCTAAAGTGTTCTTTTAATATTGGTAATTAATAAGTTTTAAAAAGTCGAGCAATCGATTTCAGTAATCGGGCATCTTATGCGAAAATTCGATTTGAATTGCTCCCTAATTAATAACTAGGGTGTCGTCCTAACCTAAGAGTTAAATCTAAAAATTAAAACTATGAAATAACGAAACATTTTAAACCTATTTAAAATAAATAATAAAAAAAGACAAAAACACAACATAAAAAGAATAAAGATAAGCATAAACATAAGGATTAAATCGCATAAACATTAAATTACCAAACTAAAAAGGGAAAAAATTAGACATACAATAGGGGCTAAATTAAAATGAATCAAAATTAAATGGCTAAATCTAAACAAAATAAAAAAATAGATTAAGGACTAAAATATAAAAAACGTGAAAACTATAGGGACCTAAAGATAATTATTAATTTTATTTAAGCATAAAATAACATGTTTAACTAAAAAGGAAAAATTATAAAATCAGTCCACACAAATTAAAATAAAATTAAAAGGTCACTATATGTGATCAAAGTGTAAAAACACGCCTACTTACAGGGACTAAATAATAAATTTATCAAAAAAATATATAACATGCAAAAAAAGGGAAAATAATAGTTTTGGTCCATGCATGTGACCAGAATGCAAAAACACACTAAAGTTAAGGGGACTAAAACACGAATAACCTAAAAAAATTAAAGCACACAAAAAAGGAAAAATAACAATTTTGGTCCCTACAAGTTACCAAACTATAAAAGCACGCTAAAAGTGAGGGGACCTTAATGCGATTCCCCCCCAAACTTTCTCTATAAATACCAAACATTTTTTTCATTTGTAATAAAAAAAAAGGAGAGAGAGCTCCCCTAACACCCGAAAACACCGAAACCCCTATGCTTCGCGGACTCTGACGACCGACGAAGCCTCTTAATAAGGTAAACTTCGGATCTATTTATTCCCTTAATTTTTAGCGCATTTTTACTGTAAAAATGGTTGGGTTGTTCATTTTTCGAACATAAAATGTTGTTTTTTACTTTTGTCTCTTCGGTTATTTTGAACAAGCTGTTCAAAAAATCAAAAAGTTTTTTTTACTCTTCGAAAACAAACAAAAAAATATTTTCTACTGATATTCAAAACTAACACACAAAAAGGATTTATCCATACTTGAAATAAAAAGAAAAATAACCTTTAAAACTTATGTTTATTGCTTTTGGATGTATCCGAAACCGAGAGAGTTACATTGTAATTTTTGTTCGGGTTTTATACACATTTACAAATAAATGAATCATTACAATTTTTTTGTTTGCTTGCTTTATGTTTTCTGCAGGAGAGTGGTGCTTGGAGTGCATGGATGACTTCTACTGGAATTGGGGCAAAAAATGGTGGCCATTGGTTGGGGGAGTGGGCGGCTACCTAGGGCTAGGTTTAGACCTGGGTCGGGTCTAATTTTGGGCCCCGAGTTTGGGTTTTTAGGTTGGATTTTGGGTCCTGGTCGGGTTTTCGGTATGGGGCTTGAGGCCCGATTGTATTAAAGGGTTTGGGTTTTATATTTTGTAAAGGGTTTGGGTTTGGTTTGGCTTAGGGCCCGGTTGGTTTTTAGTTTTGGACCTTGAGACTTTTTGTAAATGGGGGTAAAAAATGGGTATTTTTACCACATAAGTTTGGTGAAACACATGCAAGTAAGCAAGATCCTGGGACTGTCCCCAAACACAAATCAACTGCAAAGCCCTTCCTCTATTCCCAGGATTGGTGTGCGGATTCTCGATCATCTTCACCATCTCTTCCAGCACTCCCTCCGAAGCCACCTTAGCGCAGTTCGTCGTACAAGATTCCAACAAATCAAGGCTCAACGATTGGGTGACGTTGTTTTTGGCCGATAACTTCTTCTTGATGGCCCCAGAGATATAGGTTGTGTCGAACTCTTGGCTGTTGATCATGGCACATATCTTCATGTTCAATCCCCAGTAGGGTTCTTGTATTTATAGCATATCACTACTTCTTTTGAATAATGAAAAATCATCATTTATAAAAATATAATAAAATACTATTCCTCATTTGGCAGTATAAAGTATTCCAGAATATTTGGCAAGAGAGAATCCCATCAAAATATAATATTTTAGAGCAAAGACGTCTCTAAAACTAAATTTTCATCTATTTACCGCGAAAAATTAACTGTCAAAAGCTCTCTTTATTCATTAGCAAACATTTCATCTCCAACACAAAATCTCGACTTGTCCCAAGCATTGTCCTTCACCCAAACACTCCTCAATTCCCGGGGCACCATTTTCTTCTCCGGCGTCGGAAAATCCGGATTCGTCCCCAACAATATCTCCCAAACACTAGTTTCCCTCGGCATACGCTCCTCTTTCCTCTCCCCTCTCGAAGCCCTCCACGGCGACATCGGCGCAATCTCATCCGCTGACGTTCTCGTTCTCTTCTCGAAATCCGGCTCCACCGAAGAACTCCTCCATCTGGTTCCCTGTGTTAGAGCCAAGGGGGCTTATCTCATCTCCGTTTCCAACAATGCATTGTCCAATGCTTGCATATGAATGTGCATTTGCCGTTGGAGGGAGTTGTGTCCGTTCGATCTGGCGCCGGTGACTTCGACTGCGATCCAGATAGTATTTGGGGACACCGTGGCTATTGCGCTTATGGGGGCTAGGAACTTGACTAAGGAGCAATACGCTGCCTATCATCCCGCTGGGAGGATTGGGAAAAGCCTTATTTTCAAGGTTTATTATTATTTCATTATTAGAAATCAGATTTTTGGTAAATTTGGTAATTGCTTGTGAAGATGAGATACTTTTTCAGTAGTGGGCGTTTAATGAATTTTGATAAAGTTGATTTAAAAAATATTGTTATTTTTGTTTGCTATAATAATTGGTTGATGTAAGAAGCAGTAGAATGATGAAAACTAAAAAAGAAAATTAAATTCTTTTTATTGTAGTAATTTTGATGTATTAAAACGAGCTTCAACTTCTAGGATCATGTCATTGTCAACTGAGATCGGTGGACATTTGAAATTGAAATTTCCTCTCTTTTTTGTCTTATTTTTTCATATTTTATTGTTGCTTGAATTGTGCATTGTCTTCTTCATTGCTTAATTGGGTAATGTGGAGGCGACTTGAAGGTCAAGAAAAGAATTATTTAAAAAAAACATTTTTGGACTTGTAGAATGATGGATTGGGGCTTTTGTGTTTGTAGGTAAAAGATGTGATGAATAAGCAACATGAACTTCCAATTTGCAAGGAAGGATATTTGATAATGGACCAGCTGGTGGAGATGACTAGTAAAGGATGCGGATTCTTGTTGGTTATAGACGATGAATATCACTTGCTCGGCACATTTACAGATGGCGATTTGAGGCGTACTCTTAATGCCAGTGGAGAAGCCATATTCAAGCTCACTGTTGGAGAAATGTGCAACAGGTAAATTCAAATGGAGCATTTTCAAATCAGTTGTAGCAAATTGTGAAGTTGTTTTCTGATTATCAGAGGATCTTGTTTTCAATCAAGTCACTCAAATAATACCGTTTTGGTTTATATCAGGGAACCGAGAACCATCAGTCCAGAGGCAATGGCTGTGGAAGCCATGCAAAAGATGGAGTCGCCGCCTTCCCCTGTACAATTTCTACCTGTTATTGGTCATCAGAATATCTTGATTGGCATTGTCACATATCATGGATTAGTTTCTGCTGGCCTTTGAGATATGGAACTGTCTTATATTTGTTCTTGAATATTAATACCTTGACATAATTCTTTTGTATGTGTTAACTAGAATTTTAGTCCAACCATGACATAATCTCATATATTTTTCTCAAGGCTTGTAAAGAACAATTATATATGTTTTATGCTTAATTTTCACAAATACCAGTATTGAATACAAAAAATAAATAAACCCTAAGCTAAAACACACGAATCTTATACTTTGAGTTGATCATACCACCATTACAAATGGTTTTCCTTCTTACTCCATGAAGTATTCAACATCTTTCATGAGAAACCATACTTTTTGTCAGTCCCGAATCTCGTGTTCCCTACATTAGAAGCTACCTGGGGAAGATGATGACCTCCCAAGCTGCTGTTTTCTTCCATGTTCCACAATAAGTCGTCGTAGCCGTCATAGACTTTGGAGGTAACTTCATTGCTGTTGTTTTCCTGATGAGAATTATATTGAAGCAGGTTTAGCAAGCACTGGGCGTGGCTTTGATAGGTAGGTGTGGTGGAAGAGCTTATTTGTTGATAAGTTGTTCGGTGGGTTAAAGAAGGGGTGTCATTTGAGGTCTCCAACATCATTGGGGAGCTAAGTTTGGTGCTGTTCTCTTCTTTGCTCTTGTGAAACACCCTACATAAAACCCACTCTTCCTATACACACATATAATAAGTCATTTACATACATACATACATATAGTTAGTCATTTACATACATACATAAGAGAAGTTAACTGACCTTAGGAGGCATATGTGGAGTGTGGAGGCGAAATTCATGCATGATCCATCCTGTTTTGATTCCATTAGGTGCTCGGTTTCCGTGAAATACCAATGTCTTTCTCATCCCTACGACCGTCTCTGTTCTTGGGTCCACCACCACTCGATCTTTCCCTGTTGCTTTCCAGTAACCTGATGTTGTTGCCCTGTTTGTTCGGAATCCCGTCGCATATTTTCGATCTCGAAAGCTAAAGAAATACCACTCATTTGCATTCAACTTTGCCACCTCTGTAATTTAATCCAAAAAGAAGAAGTCCGCAGTTAATCCCAAGCATACAGTTTATGCTTCATTTTTCTTAGAGTCGACATAAAAAAGATAATTTTTTCATTAACCTTATCTCCTTGAATCGCTGAGAGTGTTGGTAAGTCTTTTTCACCACCTGATTTATGTCTAAGAATTGCATGCTATGCCAATATCTTTTATGTATAAATATATATTAATTGTTTGCCCTTATGTACATTACATTTCTAACGACAGAATTCAAATCTAAATCTTAGAAATCATATTATCATAAACGGAAGATTTTATGTTAGACGTAGAACTTATAAAATTTATAAGGAAATAAATTTATAAAATTTGAGAGGATAAAAACAAATTATCAATAAAGGAATATAAAAAAAATCTAAAATATAAGAGAATTTAAAATTTTCAAAGGAAACAACTGTCCCCTTAGCCTACTTCTACGTATTATTAACATGAACAACCGTAAATTCCGAATATATACAATAAAATATTAAAGTTACCAAAAGGAAATATTTGAAACCAACTTTGAGACAATAACAATTACGTATAGAATCCTCTTTGTTGTTAGGTTTTATATTTGGAAAAAACTTATAAACTTTTAAAGAACACCAAAACAAGAACCGTCACATGTCAATAAAATAATTAAGTAGGAAAAATAGAGTAGGTTTCTACTTATAGGTCACATGTTAAGACCCCCAAGACCACACTCAAACATTTAGAGATTGTCTTATGCAACTTTCTCTGTTTTTTCAAGTAATTTAATTACCTTACACATGATGTTGTAATGATCTTGCTTATGTATAATATTAGGACTTGCCATTTTGGCTATACATAGACAAAGATACTCTTAATTTGGAAAGTACACGAGATAGCACAAAGAGAAAGAAAGTAAATGGTGGACAGATATTAGGTATCATGTGTAAGAATAACATGATATATCTTTATATTTCCTACTTTAAAAAGGAAATACTACGTTGTAAAAAATTAAAATTAAAAGATGAAAATATAAGCGAGTCCTTTAAAATTATTCGATTCATGAACTCGACTTCGAACCTCAACACCTACTGATTTCGAGGTCGATTTTTCTTAATTATTCAGGTACACCACCATACAATCATACACACATATTTGCATGCATAAGCAAACATGACAGACGACAGCTTTAGTTTTATCAGTTATAAGATGAATTCAATAATTTTCTTCCTTTTTCTGGTTTGTATTAAAAAACAACAGCAGCTACTACCAGACCTTAAAAGGTTTTAATTTTGTGGAAAACCCATAAAACTGAGGTAAAGAAAGAAAGAAAGCAATGAAAGAATAAAGATTGGAAATCAAAGAGACATACCAGGGAGCTGCCATGGCTCGCATGTATGCAAATCAATATCCACCAAAGTACCCTTCAAAACATGCTCATTCACAATCTTTTTGTAAAGATAATGACACACCAACTCCTCGTCGCTCGGATAAAACCTAAACCCAGGCGGCAGTGTTGCTCCTATGTCCCTTAGTCCCATTTTTTTTTTTATCTTCAACCTAACAAACAAGAATAATTCAGAAAAAGTTTTTTTATGAATCAAGTAAAAGAAGGGTATGATTATGATTTGCTTTGTTTAGGGGACTTGACAATAGATATAGAAGTATATTGAATAGGAACGTGTGTATGTATATAAAGGAAAAGATTAGGATGAAAATCAAGTGCCTTTGCTTCTTACGATATATTCTACCATATATGTACATAGGGGCCATGCTTGTGTGACTAGTTAGTCATAATTGGGAAGTAATAAGAAAAACTAAAGTTAAAAGAAATCTTTACTATTGTGGATATACATTGGACAAAAACAAGACAGTTTTATTAGATAATCAGTTTTCACTTTATGTAAAATAAATTTAGGACGGGCCTACTTATTTCAATTTAAAACTAATGTAACTTTATTTATTTTTATGAACTTTTATATATTTAGCATTCACAAATCAAACGATCTCATTGATTAAGGTGATTATTGTTATCTCCAGAAGTCTCGGGTTTGAGCACATCGTCTGTAAGGGTGTTTGAGCATTTATTGTTAAATGATTGAGATGATCTTTTGAACAAATAATACATTGTAATCACCATAGACTAATAAAAAACATTCTCGTAGAGGAAGAACAAAATAAACTATAATAATATTGTTTTAATAAAGATTAAATATAAGTTTATCATGTTTTAAAAAAATTATATATAATTTCATCATTTTAAAGAATTTAAATTCTATTATTAGTTTATTAATGTCAATGGCTTTAGAAAGCAGTGATTAAAGTTTGTTGTTGATATTTTAGAAATCAAATTTCAATTTATAAAAAAATGTTTTATGTTAGCATTAAACTTTAAATTAATTATGTTGATGTAATATTCTTCTCGGTTAGTAATTTGATTTAATTCTTTTAAGATATACCTTTCAAAAAAAATTCTTTTAATATAATAATATTTAGAGAAATGTATATATCATTACCGAAAAGTTGACATTGCCCTTTCTGCTTTTATGAGGGGACAGGAATAACTTCATTAACTTGCATATAAGTTGGCTACCTATTGAGATGAAAGGTCATTTTTGCCACCGGACAGATCGTCTCGAATATTTTCGGAACCCTGAACGAAAATAAAAAATAGGCCCTGATTAAAAATATACTTCATTACTTTAAACAATTACTTTAATATCGTAGAAAATTATTAAACTTTTTCGAATATTAATTTCATTGTTTTGTTAAGAAAACATCTTAAATACAATTAAGAGAATAAAAAATTGAATGTGGGTATAAATTATGATATAGAGATTTATTCTAAATAATAAATTAAAAAATAAAGAATAACATATTATGTTATTGTTAGATTGAGATTGGAGAAGACTAAGAATTAAAGAATATTTAGAAAATTGAAAAATAAGATTTGTAAAAAAAAGAGACAAATATAATTTGATTTAATTCAAAATTAAATGAATTAACGAGAGAGATGGAGAAAGTTATGAGAAATTGAGAATTTTATGAAATTGTAAAAAGTTAGAGGCCTTAATTATAAAGGTGGAAATTGAGATTGAAAAAAATAGGGGCCTCAATTATAAAATTATAATTGAGATCGAAAATTCTTAGAGGCCTCAATTATAAAGGTAAAAATTGAGATTGAAAAAACTTAGTCCTTAATTGAAAAGGTAAAAAGTGAAATTGAAAAAACTTAAAAGCCTCAATTGTAAAGTTAAAAATGATATTACAAAATTAGGGGCATCAATTATAAAGGTAAAAAAGGGATTGAAAAATTAGAGATTTCAATTATAAAGATAAAAAGTTAGATTGAATAATATTAAGACCTCAATTATAAAGGTAAAAAATAAGATTTAAAAGTTAAGAACCTAATTATAAAGATGAAAAAATGAGAGCCCCAATTACAAGGATGAAAAAATGCTCAGGGCGCTCCCCCTAATAGTCGGGTCTGCCACTAGACATTTGTTATTATTATTGTTATATTGTAGTTTATATTATATGGATTATTATTTGATACATAAATTATATAAATTTCATTTTATTTAAATTTTAAATATTATAATATAAAACTTTATTTTTAAATTTTAAGTCTTAAAATCTAAAATATTAATCTTAAATCTGTAAATTCAAATGAGACTCGTGACACTATTTTTTTGTTAGTATGTGATGATTATAAGGTAAAATTTGTTCGATAAAGATTATTAATCATTTGATAATAAAAATTGAGGTAATTACTTAATAATATTTGTTAAATATTGTTTATTATTATGTTATGAATAAAAGGTAGTATATATTCAAAAACTCTCAACCATTTAATATTAAATGTTAATAGTCTTAATACATCAATGCATACGTAGTGCTCGAACTCGAAACATAAAAAAAAATCTTTAACCTCTTAGGTTGTTTGGTTCATGTAAATATAAATCAATATTAAATTGTTAAATTATGAATTTGAATTATAAAAATTGATTGGGAGTTTCTGTTAGAGTTTTGTTTATTTAATTCTCAAATTAACAACTCAAAAATAAAGATTATATTTCATTTTAAAATTTTAAAATTTAATAAATATATAAATTGGAAAAATTGTCAATTGTTTAATTTTTTAATTTCAAATTAAAAATTAAAATAAATTAAATTGGAAAAATTTTCAATTGTAATTTATTACTTAATAATTAACAACCAAAATACATATAATTTACATCAAAATAATATATAATGAAATATAAATTTAAAAAAATCGGTCTAATATATAATAATATTGTCGGGAATTTAATGCGAAATAATTTGGAAGCATCTACATAAATTCATGATCAAGAGCTATGCCTGCTAATAATTAAAGTTATGAAAGTGAAGGTTGTCGTCGTTATCATAATTACATTACATCTTTCTATATGTTGTCACCCTAATTAACTCTACTTTGGACAATTATCAATCCATGTTTCGTATCCTTGCAAAAGAAAAAAAATGATCAATTAAATTATTAATTGAGTTTTCATTTAATTGATATGATCATTATTGTATTTAAAAATATTATTAGTTTAAATACAGTTAAATATATAATATTTTCAATTTAAAAATTTTATGTTTATTTAATTTATGCATTATATTTGTATAAAAAATACTAAATAATCATATGCTACTTTAGATTAAAAAATAGATGGGTTTAGATTAAAAAATATATGGGTAGCATACATCAAAGTAAGGAAGGCAAACGGACGAGTCGGGTGCTGATTCCCTTTTCCTATCCCATATCCACCTAACATATTCAAATCCATCGCCCGCCCATCACCCATGATGGGTAAAAAATTCAAATCCACACCCACCCACGCGGGTACATTCTCAAATCCATCCCCACACCAACTACCTAACTGGAGACATACCCAGCTAGACCCGTTTGACAGCAACCTTAAGTTATACATAAGCAACAAACATAAAACAAACATGTCCATTAAGAAACATAATAAAATAAACCAATGATTTTCTGAGTTAAGTGTTAACATAGATCTTAAAGTACATAAAACATCATAATATTATATCTTATATAATATTAAGATTTATAAATTAATCTCTAAAATTATACTTAAATTCATAATGGTCTAAAATTTAATGGGTATTTAGTGGGCGGGCGGATGTGGGGCGAGTAAGATCTTAAACCCATCACCCGCCCACTACCCACGATGTATACCACTTTCTAAATCTATACCCACCTACTACCCACTAAAGTTATATCTATCCCCGTCCCAATTAGAACGGGTACGATACAGAATCCACGAAATTGTACCCGTTTGTCATCCTTGCATCAAAGGTTATTAAATTACGTTAATGTGATTTTTTTTAATCAACGAGCTTTCAGATATTATAAGAGAATCATTAAAATAATTATTTTTTGTAAAATGGTCTTTTTATGATATTAATAATATAATAATTTTTGATGAAATTAACGATAATTTTATTTTTTGTAACGAATAATATTTTGATTTATTTTATATTATGTAATGAAAAGCTCTATATGTGCGATGACGTTGGAGGAGATGTGACGGCTTCATGTTCCTCTTTGAAACCAATAATTCAGGTCCAGGGATATCCCTTCCTCCCCTAATTTGCCTAAAAATATTGCCCACAAATAGTATTATATATAAACCAAACTTAATCAGTTTTTCATATCAACTTTACCTTGCTTCTCATCTTAGAGAAACTCTATGTTAACAACTTTTGGCAATTATTATTATTGTTATTATTCTAGATTTTTTCATAAATGATTTTCTCGAAAATCAATTTTTTTAGATAAACAAATGTCTTCGTAATATATTTTTTTTCATCTATTATATACTTTTGAGTTTCATTTTCTCCCACCAGTCATCTTCTCTTAATATGATTACTAGTAATTTCAAATAATTTGTCAAAGTTTAATATATTGTCAGTCAATTATGTCTATTCACCTATAAATCTATGAGTAGCCAACATAATCATAGGCCTGATATTAATATTAAAGGTCACTATAAAATTCTTCGACCAAAACTAAGGGAGAGAACTACTGCTACTTCTTTTCTCAAACTTTTTGAAATTCTTTTAGATCAGACTACATTAATTATATGTAATTCTACCATAAATCATAGGTTGCGGCTCTCTGTTCAAATCAAAATGAGCAAATTACCTAATATCTACTACTTCTTCTTTTCTCAAACTTTTTGAAATTCTTTTAAATCAGACTACATTAATTATATGTAATTCTACCATAAATCATAGGTCACGGCTCTCTGTTCAAATTAAAATGAGCAAATTACCTAATATCATAAGAACTCAAATGTTATCATCAACAATTTTATTTCAGGTCCAAACATATATTAAAAAACTATTCATTGGAAAAGTAATATATGTGTCGAAACGTTTTTTCGAAAAGGAAAGAAAGGGAGTCTCGTTTTGAAATAATTTTTTGATGATCGATTAATGATAAAACGTGATTTGAGGAGTCACCACCAATATTTGATTAGGGCGTGATTGGGCACCCAAAAACATATTTGCAATTTTAATAAAATTTTAATTTTAATTAAAACAACAAACTTGCGGTATGCGTTACCAAAATTCGAGTTCGGGAGTCGGTTACGTGTGGGGAAAGATTAGCACCC